GTCCATTACACAATGATTCAATTTGCCACTCATTTGATCAACCTACAATTAGACTACAAGATTTACCATGGCTTATTGGAAATTCAAATGCAAGAATTTCAAGATTCAAGTTTTGGACAAGAACAATGGAGAGAACAAAAACCCTTAAGTGGTTATTAATAAACACTTTTCAAGATGAATGTCACAATAATAAAGACCAAAATACAACAAATTTTGATTCCAAAATACTCCCAATTGGGCCTTTGAACACTCATGTAACAATCAAGAATTCAAGTTTTTGGGAGGAAGATTTAAGTTGCATGAATTGGCTAGATAAACAAGTTGTTAATTCAGTATTGTATATTTCTTTTGGGAGTTGGGTGAGTCCAATTGGTGAAGCAAAAGTTAATAGTTTGGCATTGGCACTTGAAGCAACAAAAAGGCCTTTCATTTGGGTGTTAGGCCCATTATGGAGACAAGGTTTACAAAAGGGCTATTTGGAGAGGATTTCAAAACAAGGGAAGATTGTGTCATGGGCACCACAAATGGATGTGCTACAACATGAAGGTGTAGGGTGTTATCTGACGCACTGTGGATGGAACTCGACTATGGAAGCTATACAGTCCAAGAAACGATTGATGTGTTATCCGGTTGCGGGTGATCAGTTTGTAAATTGCGCTTATATTGTTCAGAAATGGCGAATCGGGGTCATGATTGATGGTTTTGGAGTGAAAGATTTGGAAGGAGGATTGAGAAAGGTCATGGAGGATGATGGAATGAGTGAAAGAATTGATAGGCTAAATGAGATGACAATGGGGAAAGTGGCTAGCTCTAAAGCAATGGATAACTTGACAACATTCCTTTCTAGTGTTAGGATGTGAAAATTGTATACCAAAACAATATAATATATGCTTCATATATATATGGTTGATATACATGTACAAGGTTTGAAAAAGTTTCATATCACAAGAGTCTATTGTGTACACAATGTTACCTTGTATTTTTTTGCAAGAAATTGTTTTCATAGTTTTTCGAACTCGTAACCTCTTAATCACATGACAATAACTTTACCAATTATGTTATGACTTTCCTTCATTCCATTGAGCATTGAACACACAAATAATTAATAAAACAACAAAGCTGGACAAAGTAGAAAAAAAACTCATGATGGAAGTGCCATCGGCCCTATAAATTAGTTTGCCCGACAATGCACGAATTTAAATTTAGTCAAACTCTAATATGGATATCGGAGAAACAAAAAAATAAAATAAAAAAATGAACAAAGTAAGTCAACTAGCTAACATATATTAATGTACTCCCTCATCTATGTGCATTATTTAATTTGTCCATTATTAATTAAAAACACACACAAAGTTTCCTATGATTTTTGATAATATAATTTTTTTGGTCTCACAATTAATGTATCATGTGCTTCTCATCTGACACCAAAGATTACTCTCTGATTTTGTCCGTGATGTGCGGGAGCAAGTAGCAACAGGCTAGAGTTAATTATGAAAAAATTATATTGAAATTAGTTATACATGATTTAATTATTTGAGTTATTTATTTCTTTTTTTTAATCTGCATAAAATTATATACAGATTCATGCATAACTTATATATATATATATATATATATATATTATATTAATTATGCAAGTTTTTACACAAATATCATATTAAGTTTATACATAATTGTAATCAATTATCAAATATAATATTACTTATATAAAATATAATACACATATTATATTTTTTCTAACCAACCACCAAATGACCAAAGAGAAAAAAAGTCCTAGTAATAAATTAAGAAAGCAATTGGCACAAACTTTCTGTCTTTAAGATAATAAGAAAATGTCCAAGTATAATTAATAAATTAAGAAAGCAATATTTGGCACAAACTTTTTGTCTTAAGATTATGTTGGTGTCTGACCAGCTTATCCACATACAACTGCATCAAATATTAAACATAATATATAAGTTGGGAGTCTGTGGCGGACAAGATAAGAGAAATGAGATTGAGATGATTTAGATATATATAAAGAAGGTGTGTTGATGCTCAGTGAGGAGGTGTGAAAGACTGGTTGTAAAGGACACTCAAAGGGGTAGAGATGAACCGAAAAAATATAGGAGAGAGGTGATTACACAAGATATAACACAACTTCATATTACCGAGGATATGACTTTAGATAGGAAGGAATAAATGTCGTATTAGGGTAGAAGGATAGTAATCGTAGTACTAGTCATACCCTTATAGTTCTTGTCATTTAATGTATTTTTGATTATCACAGTATTTTGATGTTTGTTAGTATTCTTTTCTTGTAGACTTTGCACTGCTTTTCTTATTAATGAGTAATGACAATGCTTTCTCTATCTTCACGAGATAATGATAAAATCTGTATATACTTTGCCCTCTCCAAATTGCACTTAATAAAATTTTATTGAGTATGTTATTATTATTATCGTAATATGTAAGGTATATAAAATTAAGATCCGTTGAATTCAGACCATAATGGACGCAAATCTCTTCCAAGTTGAATACTAAAAATGAAAGGACACAATCAATCGATCTCCACCACCAATCTCTACTAGCCCTTTTTTCAAGTTTATTATTTTAATGATTACTAAAGTATTAAAAAATGATTAATAAAGTTAATCTTTTTAATCATAAAAGTTATTTAATTTCTAAATTTTCACTCCAAAGATCACGTAGGTCGAAAAATAGCTATATATTAATTCATCATTAGTGTACTTTATTTATATTGCTTTTATAATATATACATTTGTTATTAATTTACGAAGTTAATTATCTTGCTTACATACTTGTGTTTATAATTAACTACTTGTGTTTGACATGATTAACTAGAGTTATCTTCAAGCTAAAGATTGGGAAATTAATTATCCCTTTATATCTTTTTATTTGGAATTGAAGTAACTTGAGCTTTTACAAAAATTGAAATATAATTCTTATTTTCAAATTGTTTCATAAGTATATATTTTTTAGTTTATTTACGTGTTTTATAAATATCTAAAATGCTTTTATAGGTCAAAATAAGTTTAAAAATTATAAATTAGTATTGTACGATCTAGCTATTTGAAGAATACAAAGTTACGAGTTTCACTATAAATTAGTACTGTACGATCTATTAAATATGATTTTTATTATGACTCATTTGATATGCAGGATGAGATAAATAAGAATATTTTACGATATTAGCGATCCCACCTTCTAAAAGAGATAACTAATAATCTCATTATTCTAGTATATTTCATAAGATCACCATCCTTATCCTATCAATCAAATGTGAAGTAAAATAATCATTTCACATTTCGAAATTGTTATCCTTTCATTCCACAAATCAAACACTAGTACTTGTATAATACAAAAATAATTCCCTTTCTACCCAGCAACCAAATGATTGCTAAGCCTACTTCGTAACCTAAATAATTAATAGGTTAGTAATATTTAATCTTTTAGTTATTGATAAAATTTAATTTTGATTTTTGTAATATTTGAGTAAGCACTAGAGTTCTCTCATGCTTTTGGCATCGAGAACCCCTAGTGAGAAACTTGCACGATGGACTAGTTAGAATAGAATTCCAACTCAATACTTTTTGAGTGAAATTTTAAGAAGAGTTTCTCTTGACAGAATAGTAGTATACAAAGAGGTCACTAGAGAGAACGGTCTATAACGTTCAATTGAGATGCACAATTTTAATGATTTACTTATAAATATTCTCAAATTTATTATTATTTCACCACTTAATTAATATTAATTATATGTTGAGTAAAAAATGAACCAAGAAAGTATTATTAGTATCCCTCAAAGGAGAGTCATATTTTTTTTTCCAATTTAGCTCGTCATATCAAACTTATCACATATGAATAATTTGTCCAAAACGCACATAACAGTAAATTTACAATAAAAAAATTTTCTTCTTCTCTCCATTATTTTTTCTCTCACTTTTTTTTTTTTGATTTCGCAATCAGTGTTTGATGACCACATTAAACACCGATAAAATTTAGACCACGCAATACAAAACTCATTAGTGGGTGACTGCTAGACCCATAAGGAGGTGACGCTCTCGACATACATAATCATATATCATATATATATATATATATAAAAGAGAACCTTATGACTGCCTACGTGACGTCACCACAAACCAGAATTCCCTTTTAATTTATTTATTTCCAAAACTAGCCTTCCCTTTTCATGAAAAGTTGTGACTTTTATGAATAGTTGCGACTTTTATGAATAGTTGCGACTTTAATGAAGAGTTGCGACTTTTATGAAAAATTGTGACTTTTATGAAGAGTTGAGACTTTTATGAAAAACTGTAACTTTTATGAAAAGTTGCGACTTTAATGAAAAGTTGCAACTTTTATGAAAAGTTCTGGTTGTGACCTTTCCGAAGGGTTGCAACTTTGTCAAATAATTATAACATTTCCGATAAGCACAATAAACATTTGTTCACACTACCCTTAATTATCTACAAATAGAGACATTTTTTTTCATTTTAAAACAACGAAAATTCAGAACTTCTTCTTCTTCTTCACAATTAAATATTTGTGTACTTTGCTCATATTGAGTGGCTCACTGACATCATTGTTTATGTTACAGATCTTGATATGTTTTTTTACCATCATTAATTTATGTTTATGTTGTTAAGGATAAATAATAAGATGTAATAATTTTCATTTTCTTTTACATTATTAATGTTTGTTACTACATAATCTTGTAAGTAAGATAATATTGTATTTTAGTTTTAATGACTGATAAGTTTAAGTATTATTTTATAAATTTCATGATATTAAATTCCCACACAAAGCACAAATAATTTTACTAATTTTCTCTATAAATAAAATTGAAAGCCCAAACCTCTAAGCTCTAATTAAAGAAAAAACGATCCCACCGATACACCACGATTCACCTTTGGTGAAACAAAAAGGAAGTCTCCCGTCTCTTTCTTCCCTTACTTTCACACACGCATTTAACCAAACACGTAATGTGCATATTCACGCTATGTCTTTTCTCTCTGTATTTCTTCGAAACCCCTAAAAACCTCTGCTTTTATCTTTCTTTTTTAGCCAATTAGAGGTTTTTTTTTCTTTGATTCGGTGAAAGATTCAATCTTTCTCCTTCTCCGGTCGGTGAACATATGGTTACGTTTGGTGTTTTTTTTTTCAATTTATTTTGTGTGATTTTTGTTAAATTACTATGGAGAGATCCGATTGCAAAGATTTCATGGACTTGTCTAACTCTTCGAGCTCCATCTCAGGTCAGCTCACTGCATTTTCCCCTTCTTAAATGGGTTTTTTTTAATTGATGATTCAGCTGGTTTTTTTTTTTTGTTTTTGTTTTTTTAGATGGGACCCAAGTTTCATTCTTGAATTGTGTTTTTTTTTTTTGTTTAAATTGGGTTGAAGTTTGGTGGGAACGAGCTGAATGCATATATGAGATTTGTATAGCTATTTGATTAGTTTGAGATAAAGGCGAAGTTGCTATTTTTTTTTTTTTTTTTTGGGTTGATTATGCTTCTGCTTGAATTTGGTTTGAGTTACTGTTTTATTCCTATCTGGGTTTCAGCTATTTCATTTCTTAAGTGAAGTTTTTGTTTGTTAAATGGGATAAGAGGAAACATATATAGAGGATTAATAGAACGATCCAACTTCATTCTTGAAGTTTGTGGAGATGAGCTGAATGCATATAGGAGATTCATATATGGAAGAGTAACCGATTCGGCTCTGCTTGGATTTCATTTGAGTTACTGTTTTATTCTATATGGATTTCAGCTAGTTCGTTTCTTAAGTGGAAAGTGGGGGTTTAAAATGGGTGGTATAGATATAGAGGATTCATACAGAGACCCAACTAGTTCATCCTTAAATTGTGTCTTTTGGTTGAATTTAGTGAGAATGAGCTGAATGCATAAAGAAGATTCATATAGCAAATGGATTAGTTTGAGACTAAGGCGTAGTTGCTATTGTTATCCTCTTGTTTTTCTTTTCAGGCATGATGCTCTACGGGATGGATATAGATGATTCAACTAGTTCATTTCCTAAGTGGTTTTTTTTTTTTCAATGAGTCAGAATTGAGGGAATATATATAGAGGATTCGGATAGCATCTCAACTAGTTCATTTTTCAATTGTGTGTTTTCTTTGGTTGAAATTTGTTGGATTGAGAGGAATGCAGATAGAAGATCTATATAGCAGCCTGATTAGTTTGATTAAGGCATAGTTGCTATTGTTGTCTGCTTGTTTTTCTTTTCTGTCTTGATGCTCTTACTGAAATTCATCCAATTTACTGTTTGATTCTATCCGTGTTTCGGTTGAAGAGTCCCACATCGTTCGGTGAAGGGATGGCTTGGGCAATCCTCAACTCTTGAGCTAGCTAGCTTTTAGGGTTGAGTTAGGTTCATGACCAATTTTCTTTACAGTTTCCTGTATTACATTTAAAAGAAAATCCGTGCTTGTTTTTGGATGTGGAAACGGTGTATAAATTTTGACTTTTTTCCTTTGGTTAAGCAGATAGTGCTCTCTTCGATGCATCACAATATGCATTTTTTGGACGAGATTCAGGAGAGGAAGTTGAATTGGGTGGTCTAGAGGAAGAAGGAAACAATTGTGTTCCCGTGGTGGATGGTGGATTTGGTGATGTCGATACACATGAGTACCATTTGTTTGAAAAAGATGAGGTACATCCTTCTGTTACTCTGTTTTGGATTTGAAATGAAATGTTTGCCTAATGACGGTTTGGTATTTAATGAAAAGTGTGGTCATGTAGCCACTCTTGGACATTGACATTTGTTTTTTATCTTTATATAATGAGGAAAAAGGAAATAAATAAACTTGGCATCTACACATTCTATTACCGAAAATACTAGAGATAAACTCATTTTCTTCTTTGGTCTTACTAATTATGGGCACTCAAGTTATGAGAACTTGTAGTTAGGTCTTCTGTAGCATTTATGGTACTGAAACATTGATATCATACATATATTGCACCAGGAGCAAATGCATAAATTGGTCCTTGGATTTGCTACTTCATTTTCCAATCTTTGTTTCTTGTTTACTTTTGTGCTCATTGCATTTTACTTCCAATTTTATGTGAGATGACATCCTTTAGTTTCCTACTGGTGAATCAATAAAAAGAAAAATGGAAATTTTATCATTTTGTTGTCCTCTGCCCAGTTCTTTTCTTGCTTTGTCACTTAAGAGTCCTGAAACCCTTCCCATGTACTCTACAATCAGGAGTCCACTATAGTCTTTCCTTTCATCATTGATCTATGAGGCTATTTGGAGGGTTAGGATGGTGGTTTTAAAGTTTTGGTCCAAGTTTCCGAGCTGCAATTAAGGTTTGTGCTGGTTTGGAGAAGTGGTAGTGAGGTAATCAGCAAAGGGTGGCAGAAGGCATGGTTTTTTTAGCTTCACTCTGATTAGGTCTGCGGTACCCACGATGAACGATATTTCCTCGTTCACTAAAGTTTAGGCTGAAAAATGTTGATTGCTAGTACAAGTTTTAAGATTGGCGTTTAGCTCTAACTTGAGGGAAAAGAGTGCAAGTTTCCTTTTTTTTTTTTAATTTGGTTTTGGAATTTTATCAATGGGTTTATCTTGTTATAACTGGCGGATGTGCTGTCTCGTTGCCAATTAATAGTTTTATATTTGGAGTACTTATTGTTTTTATTTGACCCACTTTCTTCTCTTCTGGCTCAGGAGTTTCATATCACTCTCATTAAGTTGCATTTAGCTTATGTCTGATCCCTAAAAATTTTTGGTGCCATCTCTTGTGAATTTGTGCCTTTGGTGGTTTGAGCATGCTATATTTTTTATTACTTTGATAAACTGTTGACGTATTGTACTTTTCTTTGTAGTTATACCTCTTTTGCTGCCTATACTAATATACTGCTTTATTTTCAGGGATCAGCTTTGGGGTCTTTATCTGACATAGATGATCTGGCAACTACATTTTCAAAGGTTTGATCACAAGTGTACCTTATTAAGTGTTGCTGTTCATTATAATAGCTGGTTATGCTATTTTATTTTATCTCTTCTTGATTCTGAATAGAAATCCGGTTAATTTTGCTCATATGTAATTTGTCGATCTCTAAGGGGTCGTTTGGTATCAGCAATAAGGATAACAATCTGGGATTATTTTATCCCGAATAACTTGCTTGCAAGTCAAACAACTTACTACTAACTAGTAAGGGTGTTGGAACTGTGGCTTGTAAATTTTATTGTAGCATCTTCTCTTAGAAATGTGAAACTATTCTGTGGTATCAATCTGATTAGTGTCCTGTCTTTGAAGGGGATAATGATTGGATAGTTGCAAAATATTGAACTTGAGGCGTAGGTGAAGAGAAACAGAGCTTTTTAAGCACACTTGGAACTAATAATTTTCTTTTTCTGATTTACATAGTCTTCTAGTACTCTGAATGGGCACTAAAAGGAAAGGCTGTCTCAAATGTACTTGATTTGATCATTAATATCTTAAAATTTGAAGATCTTGGTTTTGCATGGCATGCGTCTTCGATTTACCTTCCGATCTTTTCTGCATATTGCAAAGTCAAGTATGCTTACATGATTATTTTTTAAAGCATACATGATTTTTTTCTTTTCTCCAGTTGAACAGAAATGTCTCAGGACCTAGGCATCCAGGAATTATTGGTGATCGTGGATCAGGATCGTTTTCGAGGGAAAGTAAGTGCACATGTGGATTCATCTTTGAGTCAATATCTGATATTACTTTTTTATATTGAAAAAAATCTCTTGGGCTTTCTGCTGTATGAAATTCACTATTTTCTTGCTAATTTTATCTGATGCTACTTTGTAATAGAAATCATATTCCTTTAACACTATCTGCTCTCCTGCATATTGGGCCACTAGTCCAAGTCTGTAAATTTCTGAAATATCATAAAGTTTCTCTTTCTTTGTTGTCTCCAAAGTCTCTTTTTTTTTTGTTGTCTTGCTCATTTATTTATATATTTATTTGTCTTGCATATTATTTTTCATTGGCAACTTGTGTATAACGAAATGTAATAGGATCTAAGTTTGGGGCTTCTACACATTTGTACTCCTTTTCTCTGCTTATGTGTGTGACATGTGGTTATGTCTCTGCTTTGTTGTTTATCAAATGGTTGTGTTGAGCATTAAGTGGGAGAATACAAAAAGTTATTGACTTATGCTGAAATCATCTCCTTACCATCTTTCGTCTTTTTAAAAGGAAATCTGTGAGACTATCTAGGAAAAATTGGATTGCCTTTGAAACATATTCCAGATTAGATCTATTGTTAATGATTGTCATTCTAATGATGAGTTTCCATGTAGCTCTCTTTGATTGACCGAAATTGTTTGCAGGTTCGTCGGCAGCTGAATGGGCAAAGGAAACTGATTTTCCTGATTGTTTTGATCAGCATTTGTCTGACACTGAATGTCACCAGGAAAACAAAAGATGGTCTTCACAGTCTTATTTCTCTCCTGTGCATCTGTCAGAGTCAAAACCGTTGTATAGAACATCCTCAAATCCTGAGCAACCACAACAACTTCAGCGCTTCTCAAGCGAACCCATTTTATTGCCAAAGTCATCTTTCACTTCTCTCCCTCCTCCGGTTGGCAGATCTCTACAAGCCTCACCATACAGTCTATCATCTCATCAAAGCATGCCATCTCTTGCTGCTGGACCTCAGTCTCCCTATTCAGATGCCAATCTCTCCACTTTGTCAAATCCTAATATCCATTTACCAGGCTTGTCTCATGGGCTTCATTATGGTGGAAACATGCCACAATGGATACCTCCCAGTCTTTCTCTTGATACCCGTCTGCAAAATCACTGGACTAGTCACGTGAGTCTCAGCCATGGGGATCATTCTAGACTATTAAATAGTTTATCTCCGCATCAATTTCCTCAGAATGGTTTGTTATCTCCTCTGTTAATCTCTTCCCAGCAACTGCAGCAGCGAAGATTGCATCATTCAGTTCAACCATCTTTAGCTCATTTTTCTGCACTGCCTTCCCAATTTAATTCCTTTCCTTCTCCTGCCCACCTCGGTAAGCATGGGTTGGCTGATTTTAGAGATTCAAAATCTAAGTCATCACATAAAGGTAGACAGAATGTGCGCTTTTCTAAACTAGGCTCTGAAGGCGGTAGCCAAAAAAGTGAGAATAATGTTCCCAAGTTCAGATCTAAGTACATGACTGGTGATGAAATAGAGAGCATCCTGAAAATGCAGCATCCTGCAACACATGGCAATGATCCATATGCGGACGACTATTATTACCAAGCTCGCCTTGCAAAGAAAGCAGCTGAGTCGAGGTCAAAACATCGTTTTTGTCCAAACAAGGAGCAACCTTCACGATCACGCAATAGTACAGACTCGCAGCCTCACCTCCATGTTGATGCTAAGGGGCAAATTTCATTTTCTTCCATCCGCAGGCCTCGTCCTCTTCTTGAATATGATCCACCGGGATTTGTATGTAATGGGAGTGGTGATCAGAAGATGTCTGAGAAATCTTTGGAGCAGGAACCAATGCTTGCTGCTAGAATTACAGTAGAGGATGGTTTTTATCTTCTCCTTGAGGTTGATGACATCAATAGGCTACTTCAGTTTAGTCAGCCGCAAGATGGTGGTGTTCAGCTGAGGCGGAAGCGGCAGATTCTGTTGGAAGGCATGGCTGCCTCACTTCAGCTTGTTGACCCGCTTGGAAAAAGTGGCAGTTCAGTTGGGCTGACCCCTAAAGATGACATTGTGTTCTTATGGTTGGTGTCTCTACCAAAAGGCCGGAAACTCATTTCAAGGTATCTTCAGCTTCTTGTACCTGGTGGTGAGCTTGCAAGAATAGTTTGCATGACAATTTTTCGCCATTTAAGGTTTTTGTTTGGCGGCCTTCCACCTGATCTAGGAGCTGCTGAGACTATCACTGCACTTGCAAAAACAGTCTCTGCATGTACAAGTGGCATGGACCTTAATTTGCTTAGTGCTTGTCTAGCTGCTGTTGTTTGTTCCTCAGAGCAGCCACCTCTTCGCCCTCTTGGAAGCCCTGCTGGAGATGGAGCCTCTGTTATTCTTAAATCTGTTCTTGAAAGGGCAACTTATCTCTTGACTGATCCTCAGGCTGTTAACAGCTTCAGCATGCCTAACCCTGCCCTTTGGCAGGCATCGTTTGATGCCTTTTTTGGTTTACTTACTAAGTATTGTTTGAGTAAGTATGACTCTATAATGCAATCGCTCGCTTCACCAGCCCAGTCAAACACAGAACTGATTGGTTCAGAAGCTGCAAGAGCTGTAAGCAGAGAAATGCCAGTCGAACTCTTACGTGCTAGTCTCCCACACACAAATGAGCACCAGAGGAAGCTGTTGTTGAATTTTGCTCAGAGGTCCATGCCTGTAACTGGATTCAATGCTCATGGTGAAAGCAGTGAACAAGTAAATCCTGAATCTGTAAGCTGTTAGTGGAGATGCTAAGATGCCACAACTGCATATAGTTCTCAAGATCACCATCTGGCTGCCTTTTTCAGAACACAACGTTGTGCTTTACCTCCATGCCAGTAGAAATGTTGAAGGCTAGAAGCAAGGGTATGTGGGGCGTCATTTTAATGCATAAAGCTCCTCTTCCCCTTCTAACTTGTGTTTCTTGTGTTTCTTTTTCTTCTTCTTTTTCCTTTCTCCCTGCCTTTTCTTTCCATGCTTCTTTCTCCTTCCTTCCCTCAACTTTTCTTCATTTTTTTTTAAAGTAAAAGTTTTGTTCTTTCCCTTTTTCCTTTCTCGTTTGTGACAAGTCTCATCTTACGTAACTGTGTATAATGTTAGAAAGTGATGGGGTTATTGGTCTCTCCTTTTAGTGTTTCTCATCCAAAGAGCTTATTTTTCATTGCTCTTCTGTAAACTTGGATTAAAGCTGGAAAGATAGGATGTACAGGCCATTTATGTGGAGTTTAGGGAGCACTCTGACTTGGCTATCTCCCCTCTCTTTATCGGGGAAGAAGGTGTTCACCTGAAGTGACGTTGGCTCATAGGACGTAATGGTAACTCTGCAGGTTTGATAGGATACATTTGCTAGACTTGAAGCTTAGCATGGATGATAACTGTAATAGTAATTACATGCTCTTGTTCATCGACTATTATTTTACTGTAACATTTCCCCATTTTGTTTACCGAGTTGATTTGAAAGTTGTCATCCCCCGTCAATGGTTCAGATATGGCAATGAACATTATAGCTTTTACCAGTGTTAACATGTTGGATAAACTGTAGGTATATGTTGTCTTCTTCAGTCGTCGCAATATGAAAAGGGTTGTGTATTCTAATCACTCGTCACTGTATGCGACTGAATGTCAACACCAGTGCTAGTTCAGTGGTATAATGACATGTCTCGTTTGATGTAAGTGCTGAATTTTTCCCAGCCAATCGAAATCGATAGTTTATGTATGTTAGAGCAGTGTTTCTCTGTAATGTTTTGCTTCTTAGCAATTCATGTCTATTATATGGTACACAGCATGTAAAAAAAACAGGGGCCTGTTGCTTTGAATACTAGAACTGTATAGATCAGCAACACTAATATGTTGGCTGAAAAAAGCTTTACTTTTGACTAAAGCTTTTGCCATCTTAGATGAGGTTACTTTCTCTGAGCTTTCGTTTGGTCGTAGATTTTGAAGTTGGAATTTGAAAATTTAAGTTTACGAAGTAGTGATTTTTGAAATTTGAAGTTTGTGTTTGGACATACATTTTATTTGAGAAAACTTAAAAGTCCTATGAATGGTAGTTTCGTGAGTTTTGAAACTTGAAGTTGTGTTTGATAGATCCCTTGTAACATTGCTTCAAAATTTGGTGGGGGACGAAAGTTGGACAAGAAAGCATCAATTCCAACAATATCTTATTAATTTGATTATTGATTTAAGGTGTTTACAAATAAAAAATTGATAACACCTAAAATTGGACCAAACAATAATCACCCTAAGCAATGAGTTGTTCAATTGTTCATTCCCTCCTTTTCAATTTAATTGCGTTATCTTCCTATTTAATTTATCTTAAAAACAATCCCTTTTCTTTTTTAACAACATTTTAATTTTAACTTTTTACCTAATATATTAAGAACGAACAATTCATTCAAAACTCCTCTTTAATCTTTTAAAACTTTATATCAAATCAAAACGAAAACAATAATAAAAGCTGCCACAACTGCGAGTCGCAGACAGCGGTGCGCCTTGCTTTTAATAGCTTTCTCTTTCTTTCCCATTTCCTCCATTGAAGACATTTTTTATCTGAAAATTTTTCTCCCCAAATTTCATCTTCCTCATTCACAATCAGTTTAAGCAAAAAAAAAAAAAACCATTTTTTTTGGTTGAAATATTGTTCGTCCCTACGATTGTGGTGCCTCAACTCTCAACACAGCAAAAAATTCAGTTGAAATTTCAAGCTTTTTACAGGATAAAATCGATTTTTAAGGTATTTTTGCTAGCTCGAGTTGTTATTAATTATTTTTTTTCATGTAATATCGTTTAGTTAGGGTAGATCTATGATATCTGATTTTTGTAGATTTTTTTTTTATGGTTGTGCTTGATTTTTAGTTGAAATGCATGGTCCTAGTTTGCTTTAGAATTTAATTTTCTGCTTTAAGATTACTTCTTATAAGAGGTGAACGTTTAGTTATTCAACTAATTGAGTATTAATTTGTGTATTAATTTTTATTTTTTAAGGAATTATTAACTTGCTTCTGAGTTGGGATGGTGTTCTTAAAGCTTTGGTGAAATTTAGTAATTAGTCCAAAAAGAATACAAAGTCAATACTCTCTCCGTCATATATTAGTTGATTATCTCATTAAAAATATTGTTTTTAAATTGCTTTTCACTTAGTAAATTAAGGTAAAATTAATTTATTAAAAAATATTCATTTTACCCATACAATTAATACTATTTGGAAGGCTAAACAAATTTAGATGTTAGAAAATTTTCTTTTTATAAGAGTTCATTAATTACTTTATATCTATTTATCCAATGATATTTATTCATACTTACTATGCTATTGAGCATATTTTTTTGGGCTAACTCATCGGTGGCCTCCTAAACTTGGCACCAACTTTCACTTGGACACTTTAACTAGGTTTTGTTCATTTTAAGCACCTCATGTCAAACCTCATTGTGTTATTTTGACACTTTTTATATTTTCAAAACCGCATTTTAAGTGCGTACATCCAGACGCCTCTTATGTGGAAAAATAAACGAATTGGTATGTGACACGTGGAAATTTTATTTTATTTTTAAAAATCTCAATTTTACTTTTTTTTTTCTTTCTTCTAGATCCCAAACCCCATGCCCCCACCTCTTTTCTTCTTCTTCTTGCGCCTCCTTCCCCTTCATCTGTTCTTCTCCATCAAAAAGGCAAGAACATAGGTTAGTTTACAAAATAAAATACGTTTTGGAGAATAAGGGAAATCATACCAAATCGAAAAGTTTTTATATGACATTTAAAAGAAGATGATTTCTTGTGCTACTACGATTGGGATTTACAATGAATGATATGTAAAATAAATTATTTTTTTTTTCATTGGAGGTTGTTCTTTATTTCTTTTTTATTCCTTGAAATCAATTTAATTTTCAATGGAGAAGGTAAGAATGTAAATCAGTTTTTCCATTTGAAAGAAGTTGATTTCTTTTTTTGTTCCCTTGAAATCAATTTTGTTTTTGAATATGTATCAAATGCAAATTTGATTTTCAAAGAAGATGAAAGAATCAAAGAGTGTAACCTAGTAAAATATTGTAGAATTTTTTAAAAAAGTTGTGTGGTGATGGAGGATGGTAGAAGGTGGGGAAGATGGAAGGGAAAAAGCAAGGAAGAAGAAGGAGAAGAAAATATTTACAAAAAAAGTCTCTGACGCGCTCAAAATTTGTGTAGCACACGTACTGTGCTTAGTCAGCAAAAAGTGTCAAAATGACACAGCGAGACCCCACATGAGGTGTCTAAAATGAACATCGCCCACTTGAGGTGCCTAAGTGAAACTTCGTGCCAAGTTTAGGGGGCCACCGATGGGTTAGGCCTACTTTTTTTATAAATTATTTTGATGTCCATCAATATGGATAAAGGGTAAATTAGTAAAAATGATTATCTTATTTATGGTTTCTTAAACACTGTATAAAATGAAAAGCAATCAACTAATATGGAACGGATTGGATATAGGAGGCCTTGTTAAACCTTTAAGTCTAAAGCACAATAAGAAATAAGTGTTTGATTAAGTGCAAAATACCTAAATTGAAAATATACAACAAATAAAAAATATATACTAGGTAAAATTAAAGAAAATTTATAATATGCTATACATTCATTTATGTACTTGTCTTTACTGACTATAATCCCAAAATTAACGTTTTCTTTGATGGAGTTGAATGTGTAAAAAAGATATCTTCACTTTTAAGAGTAAGAGAAGTAATTGAGTTTTGTATTCTCTTGTGATTATTTCTTTCTAAAATACTACTCATAATTGTGTCTTTAATTTTTTTGTTTATAGGTATGGATCCTCCACAGGTGACTGTACATTCTGGTCCAGAAGTTTATGATGTGCTAACGTTGCAGGCGGAACATCGATCACAAAGTGTGTGGAATGGGACCTTGAGGGGAGAGAAAGCATGTCTACATCCACGTCGTACAGATCATGAATTATGGCAACATTTGAAGCATCGTCCTTTGCATCCCCGTATTCTTGACTATTTTGGTAGGTGTGGATTTAGGGGGGTTGTAGAGGTAGGATGTGTTCCATATGATTGGGGAGTCATTACTGCACTAATTGAGAGGTGGCGTCCAGAGACACATACTTTCCACATGCGTACAGGTGAGGCAACAATCACATTGCAGGATGTCGAGCTCATGTTTGGCATGTGTGTAGATGGTGACCCTTTGCTTCAAGCTGGTGCTAGAGATATCTCTGTTCAGGGGTGGCAACAGTTGATCTATGAGCTTACTGGTTGGGCACCTGTTGAGAATTGCTTTACTGGCGTTAGTAGGTTGTATGTAAGTAGTTTAGTTGCATATATGGACGGCTTAGATGCTATTACAGACCAATCGGCCGAGGTTAATGTGCAACAAAGAGTTAGGTTGTATCTATTATGGTTGTGCGGTGGCACAATATTTCCTGATAAGTCCGGTTGTAAACTTAGTTTAGACTTTCTACTAGATATGCGGGACCTTAGCACAATGGGAACACAAGCTTGGGGAGCATCCGCATTGTCGTACCTGTACAATTGTCTATGTCGTGCTTCAATGTCCGCGGCTAGCGATGTATGTGGATTTCTTTCTTTGTTGCAGGTATTTGATTTTTCATTTATGTGGTTTTATTTGCCTCTCTTATTTTGATAGCTATAATCTTTATAGTTTTAAAATTTTCTTAATGTAGGTCTGGGTTTGGGAGCGACTTATCCCGATGCAACCATCATTGCGTCCTCCAAGAGAACCTATGTCTCCACCTGAGCCACTTACGGCACTTGCATGAAAGTGGACTCGTTGTAGAGTTCGCCAAAATGAGGTGCGAGGTGTGCTTGCCATTTGCAGGGATGTATTAGACAACCTAAATGATGGCCAGGTGATTTATCGTAATTTATGTTTGCTTTTTGATTGAGTATTTATTCGAATAGAATTGTAGAATTTGTTTAATTTATTGAATGTTTATGTTTTTCTGCTATAGTTTGTTTGGGAGCCTTATTCAGAGACTATCATTAATGGGCTCCCTGAGTGGTGCCGGCGTGGCCGAGATGTTTGGATGGCACAAACACCCTTAATTTGTGGAATCTATCGTGAGTGGCACATGGTAGACCGTGTCCTAAGACAGTTTGGTAGGGAGCAACATATTCCTGGACCATGCACTACATTTGACCACCTTCATTTCAAGCGTGACAAGCGATTTAGGGTAACACAACAAGATATACATTATTTTGAGTTTATGGCTGCTTTTTGGGCACATCGTCGAGATAACATAATTCGTGCTGAGCTATTGATTGAAGCTTCAAGGTCACGATTAGAGTACTTTGATTGGTATCACCGTCACTCGCGGATTTTTATAGGAAATCCAACTCATGAAGTGGATAGGGGATATCAACACATGGCAGGCAGACATGAGGCATTGGTATGTATCGTACATCATTGTACTTGTTTGATATTTTACACGTATCTTAGACCATTGACTACGGACACGTATTATCTTTTAATTTGTTTTAGGCTCGAGGACATCAAAATTCATATAAGTTGGCTCTCAGTGTCGGGAATGATCCTACCGCGTCTGATGCAGAGAAGGTTTTGGCAGAGAAGTTCAGCCGCATTTCAGTGGAGTCTATGACTGCTGCCTCCCTGGGGACGCGGTTGAGCTTTGCTCCAGATTATACACCACCAACTGAATACGAGGAACTGCCTATTGTGCCTGTTCGACGTCGTCAAAGGCAAGCTGTACATAGGGATGAGGTACGCAGTAGAGGACCTCGAGGGGGCCGAGGTCAACGTCGTGTTGATCACCAATTGGTTGATGAAACGTGTACATCCATTTCCTTATGGCGCGAACCTCCTATATATTGATGTGTGACTTTGCCATAATAAGTGAGTATCAACATAATAACAATCACGTTGTTGTTTAAATTGAAATGATCCTCCTTATAATCATTCATGAGATGCTAAAATAAATCAACTCTTACATGATTTTCGCCATTTTAACTTTTTAAAATAAAATAAAATTGCAAGACTTATTTTAAAAAAAAAGAGTTAATTGTACATGCCTCATTTTATGTTAACTGTAATAAAGATAATAGTCATAAAACACTTCAATTCCCAGAAGACCAGGACTTCATTATGACAATTCAAAGTTGTAAAATAATTAATATTCCCTTATTTTGAGGCTTTAGATCTATTTTTGCACCATTTATTCATCTTCATTTCTCTTTTTTTTCTTGCTTTCTATAATTTATATTTATAAAATTTGTTGAATCGCTTCTCTTGTTTATCATTTCTTTCTGGTAATTAAGGTTCTTTCGTTCTCTCTTGAAGTTATTGGATCATTTTTAAAAAAGAAGATATATTATGTATTTAGAATAATTTAGCATGAAATTTCTCATTTTACTATATCCCTACAAATATCTCTAGTTTGTAAAGATCCTAAGTTTTAAAGGTTTGTTCATTCTTTCTTAAAATGCATGCCCAATCAAAGTGTATCGTGTAAAATATGATGGAGGTAGTACTACGTAAAACTTTCTCATACTCTATGTTTACACCAGATCAATAATGCAAGATAAGTGTTTTTCATACATACGTTCATTTTTTTTAACCATAGTTAGGTGGTGATGTATATTCTTGCTTTAATTTTTAACCGCTAAGGTCAATTTGCTTAGTTTGATATAAACATCGAGTCAGAATAAGTATTTACATGGTTTTTCTTGGTGAAGGTGAGTGAAGTTTTGCAAGTATGATTTTTGCAATAGGAAAACAATTGCTTTGAGTAATAGAATTATTTTTTTTAGTGAAAAAAGTAAGTGAGCTCTCTCCTTTTATGTCTTTTTGTTAATTTAGAGTCAATCTTGTGAGCCTTTTGGGTTAATATTAGGAAAAAGGTTCAGATTCACTCCTCTATGGATATTTCTTAATTTTACCTTTCGTTATAGTTTGATGTTATTCATAGCATTACCATTAGCAAATCGTCTCGTATTTGCTCGACTCTAATTGAGGTCCAGAGTGTGGACCAGGTGGATAGAAGGTCCAAACGTTACCTCTCTACTTTTTATAATGGTTTAAAATTATCCTCCATTATGCTTCGGATTGGATAGGGTCAAGAGCAAATACGAGAAAATTTGCTAATGATAAATATAACATAGGATAGACTTTGTATGGCAATTAGAAAGAAGCACAATTTGTAAAGTCAAGATCAATGGGAACATCCGCCTGAACAAGCTCAAAATGGGCATTTCTGGCTAGTTTTGAGTTTAGGAGTTGGAGCCTTTTCCCTCAGTTTTAATAGCCTTTGTATTCTTTAAGACTAGTTTGCCTTACAACAACAACATTCCCAGTGAAATCCCACAAGTGGAGTTAGGGTGGATGGAGTATACGCAGACCTTACTAGAGAGGTTGTTTCCGAAGGACCCATGGCTCGAGTACAACAAATCAAAGTAGGTATGGAAGAAAAAAAAAGTAGTGAGGAAAACATAGCAACTAGTCAAAAGAACAATAACAACATAGTGCGATAACTGAAGCACAATAAGCACAAATGATAAAGGAAATCAAAAGCAGTAACTACAACTTACAAGAATAAGGATATTACTACGACAACAACACTCCAGTACCCTCTGTCCTTCTATCCTAATTCGTGACTGCTACGCCCTCCTAACTAGTTTGCCTTAAATGCAATAATTTGACTTTTAAAGTACTAGTACAGATTCAATAGCTGCAAAATGATACATATACATGGTCATTAACCACTAGTTTCATAAATAGTAGGGATAAGGGTTTGAAAAATACCTCAACTTTGATCGAATTTGCTGTTGCGATACTAAACTTTCATGAGGACCTATTACCTACCGAGACTATTTAATACCGTATTTTTTAACCCTGAACTATTTAATAGTGTATTTTAAAGGTATATATGTGCCCACGTGGACACATTACTATTTATAATTTTGCATTATTTTTTTATGTCCACGTGGGCAAAAATGTATGTTTAAAATATGGTATTAAATAGTCTAGGGAGGTAATAGGTCCTCATGAAAGTTTAGTATCGCAACAACAAATTCGACCAAAGTTGAGATATTTTTCAGACCCTTATCCCTAAATAGTATTAGTGTAATGTGGAAGAACTATCATTTATAGTATGATTCAAATGGATATAAGATGAATCACTCCAATTTCTCATCTAAAAATCATGAAGTTTGAAGTGGAAAAGTACTCTAGGAATGCTAAAGGCGCTTACACGTTTCTTTTTTCAGGCATGGATATATTGGTGGTGTCCAAGAGAAGGAACAATATTACTAGAAAACTGCTCTTGGCCGCTGGCATTACTGCAATTTGTTTTCTTATATTCAGAACATCACCTGGTTTTAGTAGTTTCATGAAGGTTAAATTCTACTCGAAGTTTTCATCTTATGCATTGCATTCTCATTTACTTCTTCAACCCCGAATTTCAAGTGATCTATGGTCCACAACAGTTTAAATGTCGTTTAAATGTGTGGTCATCTCATCTAAAAATTTAAACTGGTAAGAGAGAATGTTAACGCACTTCTATTTACTTAGTGATATCAAAACTATATTTTGCTGAAGCAGGGCTAGTTCAAACATACAATTTTTTCTTATGCAAATGTTTTACCTTTAGATTCTTTTTCGTTTTGATAACGACAAATCTAATAGTCATTTTTTCATTTAAAATTTTCAGTTTGCTCAACGCGAACCTGGTGTAACTCATGTCTTAGTTACTGGAGGAGCTGGCTTCATAGGTTCTCATGCTACCGTTCGACTCCTAAAGGATTCATACCGTGTAACTATAGTGGTAAGTTACTTAATCATTTCAGCCGTCCCCCCCCTTCACGAATCAAGTTTTGAACTTGTTTTGACATTGTGCATAATCCCGAGATTCTTTTGAACAGGACAACCTTTCGCGTGGAAACATGGGCGCTGTAAAAGTTCTTCAAGAATTGTTTCCTGAGCCAGGACGACTTCAGTTTATTTATGCAGATTTAGGAGATGCAGTAGCTGTATCCAAAACGTTTGCTTTTATTCTTTCCTCATTTATCTTGATCGCTTCACATCACCTCTTTTACTGATCTAATTCAAAGGCGGAGTCAGGGTTTGAAGTTTATGGTCTAAACCTACCGTTAAAACCATAGGTCGATTGAGTTACTGGTTCTCAATTAAATATTTATACATATTTAATGGATTTCCTAATATTGTAGCTCCGCCCCTGGTCTTGATTATAGGCTGGCGTTTTCATCCTTAACCAGTAACTCAGGTTAACAAGATATTTAAACGAAATGCATTTGATGCTGTGATGCATTTTGCAGCTGTTGCATATGTTGGTGAAAGTACAGAAGAGCCTCTAAGGTACTCCCCAAAATTCTGAAGCTCTAACTCATATCGACTGTATAAAATCGTTCAGTTCGACGCATTTTATACTTCCACCAAAAATAATGATTTCATTCTATGTAGCTCGGACTCTTCAAAAATGTCAACAGGTGCATTTTTTGAGGATCAAACATGGGTATAGAAGCATTTTTGGAGAGTCCGAGCAACATAGATTTCATTTCAAGAGCTAATCTTCCAATGCAGTTGTCTGAAAATAGTGTTCTTTTGTACTTATTGTTTCCGAGCTTGTGCATTTCATACATTCAGAAAGATCGAAATTATGAGAAACCCTTGTTATTCTGTTATAGTAATATTCTCGAGTATTTTGCAGGTATTATCACAATATCACATCGAATACATTGCTACTAGTTAAGGCAATGGCAACATATGGTGTAAAGACACTAATCTACTCGAGTACCTGTGCTACATATGGAGAGCCTGAGAAAATGCCTATTACAGAAGAAAGCCCGCAAGTCAGTAACTGCGTTCCAGTTACTTATTTAGCAATTTACGCTAAATTGATTTTCGATATAAGTAGTTTATGTGTCTATTAAGAAACTTCCTTTGATGTTAACTTGGAACCAGTTCTTTTTCAATTGGACACTTTTGCTGGTGCGGACTTGTGGAGTAATTGTTTGGTTATTATAATTGTAGTCGATCATTCTAGTTTTTCCGGTGTACTGACTTAACTTTGAACAATCAGGCACCGATAAATCCTTATGGAAAAGCAAAGAAAATGGCTGAAGATATCATACTGGACTTTTCAAAAACTTCTGATGTTGCTGTCATGATATTAAGGTAATTTGTGCTATCAATGATTTCTTATATTTTGCCTACGGGATTTAAATTATATATACAGACAGTATAGAATTTTCACACTATCGATGCAATTTAACTTGTTATAACAGATCTCAGTCTATTTCTCGAAGACTTGATACAAAGAGTTACCTTCTGTTGTTGGTTACTGTTTTAAGAAAAGCTATATACTGTCAGTGCACATAGCTTAAACTCTTTTCCAGAAGTGTCGTATTCTAGAAAAGAAGTTTGTTTGTTTCCAATTTCTTACGATTCTCGAATCAAATAATTCAGGTATTTCAATGTAATTGGATCAGACCCTGAAGGAAGGTTAGGAGAAGCTCCTCGACCTGAATTGCGCGAGCAAGGACGGATATCTGGTGCTTGTTTTGATGCAGCCAGGGGAATAATTCCAGGGCTGAAGGTTAGAAGAACATAACACTAGTACTACTATGAATTTAACTTCCACACGCTACACTGACAACGTTAAAACGATTTTCTTCACTATCAAGTCTCCCCTGAGATAATGACGGGTAAATAACCTGGAAAATAAGACAAGTTATCTGCTACAGGCGACGAAAATACATTGATAGTGCAAAAAATTCATTACATTGTCAAATGCGTATCACGTATGAGTAATATTCTTCTACGAGTGCACCAAAATGCTCACTGGGGTGCATGTCGGATCCTTCAAAAGTAGTAGTGCATTTTTTAAGGATATGACACAGGTGTGACAACATTTTCAGAAAGTCCGAGCAACATACCTTTGAAGCTTTCCAATTTGTTATAATGTCCTTAATATGTACCAATGTATTCTTTTCTTCTATATGGTGAATTAACTACAGATAAGGGGAGTAGATTACAACACACCAGATGGAACTTGTATACGAGACTACATCGATGTGACTGACCTAATCGATGCTCATGTCAAAGCGTTAGAGCACGCAAGACCTAGCAAAGTTGGTATCTACAACGTCGGAACAGGAAGAGGTTTGCTTCCTCTGCTTTCTCTGTTTCTAAGTTAAAAGGAATCACTTGACATTTGTATGATGCTTGTTGTTACTACTACAGGTAGTTCGGTGAAACAATTCGTTGAAGCTTGTAAAAGAGCTACAGGAGTTAACATAAGGGTTGAATACCTCACTCGACGTCCAGGAGATTATGCTGAAGTATACAGTGATCCTTCTAAAATTAGACACGAATTGAATTGGATCGCGAGATACACGCTTGAAGAGAGCTTAGCAATAGCATGGAGATGGCAAAAGGCACATAGAAATGGTTACAACTAAAGTAGATAGGTTTAAGATTTGAACTCATGAATTACTTTTTTTGTTTTGAATAGGTAACATTATACGTCTAGCAGACTCAGTGGTGGAGTCAGGATATTTGTCGAGGGAATCCATAATATAAAAAAGGAAAACATACGAAGAAGCCAAGGAGATTCTTGACCATATATATGTATACCCCCTCGCGATAACCTGGCTCCGCCCACACCTATAGGAGGTGCAATGGCACTGGAAATTCATGTGTGTTGGACAACAATGATATCATAGTTGATAGTTTGCTAGGTTTATAACTGCAACATCTTGTGGCAAGTCCTTGTTTTTTTTTAAACATATTGTTGTGTATCAATAGTCATTCAACAATTCACTTGATTGTCATAAGATGTATTCCTTACGTTCCATAATAGTTGTCTATTTTTTCTTTTACACGTCTCTTAAGATTACTTATTAACGACTTAGAAACTTTGTTTTGTAACTTTACAAACTTGTTTATACTTTAAAAAAAAATTAATTATAAAATTGTAAGTAATTTAGAACAAATATTTTTAATAACGTGGAAAATTAATATGAGACGGAGAGAGTATTGCATTTTACTTCTGAAAGGAATGGTAATCCAATGTGTACACAGAAGACAATATTTATTTATTTGTTTAAGGAAGTTCATCATTTACAACAAGAATTGCTATACAAAACTAAAGTAATATTAATTGGGCATAATATATAAATGTGCTTTTTAATTTGATCTCATTTTACATATATGTCCTCTAATTTTGGGTGTGCATAAGTAGATGCACTTAAACTTGTATAAAGTTGAACAAGTAGACACATGAGTCTTACGTGGCATAATACACGTAGGACATTACGGGACTGATTTCAAAAGAGAGGTCTTTCTAAGCAAGTCGATAATGTCATAAGTCAAATGGGCGGGGGAGGCGAGAGTCCTTCACTGCACTCACTCACTCATACCTACAACTAAATCTGCTTTTTTATCCTCCTCTTATGTAATGATCCATTAGATCATTTTGAGTACTAGAATTATTTTGACTATTTCCGAAAATTTTACAACGGGTATTTTGGACTATTAGTTAATTATAGTTATACAATTAATGGGGCAATTTTAATAATTTATTTAAGGTCTTATTATTGGATTGGAATAACTTAATTCGTGTCTTAATTATATGTTTTGTGGTTATGTGCGTTAGCTGAAAGAGATTGGAGTTGGAACTTGGAAGGTCTCCTAGGCAGCATAGGTGGAACAATTTCATGGGATTAAAAGTGAGAAAGTTAAATAGTTTTGATTGGTTAACTGTTGATAGCTGTAGTAGGTAGTGCACTTTCTTAAAATTATTTGTATAGAAATAGTAAAATTTCACTTGAGAATTTGCACAGCCACAAGTTTGACCTACAATCATGGCAATAGTGATGGCATAATGATTAAGGGTAACAATTAACAAATTATTAGATAGTCTTTAGGAGTATAAGATGCGTGGTTACTTTGTTTTCCCAAATTCACGTCAATGTCTGGTTACTTGATGGTAAATTGGATTTTTGTTTCGTGCTTTAATTTTTTTGTTATGGTTACATTGTTATTCTAGTTTTAATATATTGAGATAAGTAATTAAATATTAGGGGTATTATATTATTTGAATACCTTTAAATTTATAATAAATGGAGGAATTAAGACTTAACCTTAGCCTTGAAATTTGGAAAATATTAAGAGCTTGTTATAGATTTGGGATGAGTTTTTGGGTCTAGGTTAGACCTATAGTAACATGGGTGTTGTTAGTTTTGAAATCTTATTGTGGTTAATTATTTGACTAGATTGCTTTGAGTTGGAAGTTCAACGAAAAGGAAAGGCTCAAGTCCCGGAGTGAATGTTCGATTATTTGAGGCAAGTGAATTTCTAAACCCTTGTTAAGTGTATGGAATTCGTGTATTTCCTTGTGATATGTGTTTGGGCTAATGAGACTTGGTGATGGGTTGATTTGTACATATTGATTATTTTCTAATGATGAAAAAGGGGTAATAAAAGACAATGTGTTTAATTGTTGATGTGTGATGTTTGAGACTGGGTTGAAAGGCTTGTTGAATCATTGTTGATGTTGTATCACGATTGTATTGTTGTGAATTGTGTATTGTTATGAAAATGGTCATCTCCTCATTATTTATGTGAACATGTCATTTGCATTGGTTCTGAGACATGGTTGTGATAAGTGTTATGTGATAAGAGGATGTACCATTTCGAGGGGCGTATCGCGCGCCGCGATGGATGCATGGACATATATGTCCCCCATGGGTCCCGGACTGAGAGACAGCAAGTGTGTATCACTAGGTCAGACATGCATCACTATACTTGACATTGCATTCCATTGCATTGCACATATTTATCATTAGTGAACTTGATATTGTGTTTTGCTGATCTTGTGAGTGCTTTCTGTGGAACTTTGATTGGTGAATATTGAGTTTGTTGTTGAGGATATGTAATTGTTAGAATGTTGTTGTTGAGATATGTGCTATGTGAATTGTGAACTGTTAGGTTGGGCTGATTTTATGCATGTTGTAGTTATGGAGGTTCGGTTGGGGTGTAAAGAGTACCCGTATTCTATCCCCTTAGCTTGTGTTTAGAGGTTTACTTGCTGAGTACCGCGTGGTTTGGTACTCACCCCTTGCTACTACATTTTTTTGTAGGTTACTAGCCCAGATCTTTGTGATATATTCTCTTCTTTTCCGAGGCTTCTTGGAGATTTGTGAGGTAGCTGTTTGTCAACTTAGCGGACCTTCTTTCTCCTTAATTATGATCTTGTTCTATTCTAGCAACAATGTCATTTGAAACATGTATTTTCTTTCAACTTTGTTATAACACATTAGAGGCTTGTACACGTGACAACCAGATTTTGGGGATATTTTTGAGTTGATTATGAAATTTCCGCATTTTATTGTAATGGTTGAGTTTTAGTCTGACTTGTCTTGGTGGGATAAGACGAGTGCCATCACGTCCATTTTTGGATCGTGACATCTTATCTTAGGGGTATTCAAGTCGGTACTTGTGGATTCAGGGGCAGCATCAAGTCGAAAAAGTATTGCAAAAAGATAAAGAGTAAAAAATAAATACATCACTAGCTTTAAAATCCTTCCAAGGTAAATACCTTTGGATATTTCTCATAATGTTTCAAAATAAGCCAAATAAGGTGCATCCTCTATGACCAATTATGTCTATGCACAAGCTATGATTTAGATTGGTTTGTTAGGTGGGATAAGAACAATAATTGTGGGGTGTAACTTGATATTAACTTTTTTCATATTTGATTTGAGATATTAGCTAATTTCGAGATTATTTTATTTCATTTTTATCCTACATAAAAGGTGGAATAAAATAATCTTATGGAATATCCTTGCTTATCTCATTTTGTGTACCAAGTGACCCCTTATAATCTATCTCTTTTCTATATTTTTCTTGATGTTGAGAGTTGAAAAATGACTAATCGAGTACGTAGAATGGTTGGAATCCCTCTATCATCAAATAAAAGATTTGGATTTAAAATTTTAATTTGGAATGGAGAGCCTCTTGGCAAGAAATGTGTTGCCCTCTTTCACCGTCAAATGACGAAGTCAAAATTTTTACTAAAGAAACTCAAAATATAAGGAAATAAATATACGAAAAAGCTAAGGAGATTCAATATCTACAATTTATATATAAACAATTAACTTCTTATATAAAGTATAATTTTCCGACGTAGAGGATTCATATAAACCTTTAACTCCGTCCTGACATTTAGTGAATCTATTTAAAAACGAATCTAAACTTAATCGAGAGAGTAAATTTCGAATATGGAATACTTAAAAATATGTTTTGAATTATCAGAGAGCTGGAAAATTTATGGAAAGTACCAAATAATTACATAGGCAGTCTGTCACATCATCAAGCGAAATCGAAAAGATTCTTCCATTTTTAATTAGTAATCTCGAGTTTAAATTCTGAGAATATCAAATAATACTTTTCCAACATATTGCATCATCAAAAATTTCCTTTTTATAGACATGTAAATATAATTTCTCAAGAAAATTAATATGGATACACAATATGCCAACTGAAAAGAACATTTAGCTAATAATATATATTTTAAAAAAAAGATATAAAGTAAATACCTTAAAGTCATGACCACAACCTTAAAATCACATACAAATTGTGACAATAGACAAACACTGCTTAGCAAAATCTTGCATACGCCATTGCAGTAAGCATACTAATTACCCTAATATATTTTGATTCGAACAAGATAACTAATTAACTATATGGTGAAAATTAATATTTTCACCTTTTCAACTTCCTCAATTTTATTTCGAGTTTTGATTTTCTCAAATGATCATTGACCAACTCATAATAATTATATATCTCAAAAAATCATTTGAAATAATAGTTACTACTTGATTGATCGACCATATGAAAAATCAACGCATTTTATTTATGACAAAATGATATATCACTTGTGCATGGCATGGTTTTGGGCATGTCTTGGTGACAAAGAAAGTGCAACAATTTTGCCTTCAAGTTGTGCTCCATCTTGGGGCTGCAGCTGTTGATCATGTAGGTAATCACATAGTTGATCATGATTTATCTGACCATCCTATCATATAATAATAATTAGTATAGCTTCGACATAAGAGTAAAAGTTATTGTATCGTATATCGTGTGATTCTAAATATCATGAATTTAAAGACATAACATAAGAAATTTATTTGAAAAATATAAATTCAAAAAATTTACATTATTAGATCATCTAAAGAATATGTACAATCATACATGTAAGTTTTCTTAAAATATAGTGTTGTAATATTGAAAGTAAGACAGATGATCTTTATGGTATAAAAAATTCTTGTTGTAAAAGTTATAATATATCAGTGTGTGATTCGAAAATCACGAAAAAAACCTATTTTAGAAATATAAGCTAAATTTACATATAATAAATCAGATCGAGTTTAAGTAATATACATTTTGTATAATTTGTTTTATTATATCCGGTCAACTAAAGTATATCTACATGCAAGCCTCTAAATATGTGATCTATCTTTTAGTTATTCAGATGAATGAAACCTATCG